GAGCCGCCCAATACTAGAAGGAGAGGCCAGGAGTGCTCAGGGGCCAGGAGTGCTCAGGGGCCAGGAGTGCTCAGGGGCCAGGAGTGCTCAGGGGCTCCATGCCGTTAGAAACCGGTGCCGCAAATACTGTAAAGACGATAACGGCAATCTCCACATTCAAGATATAATACAGTGTTGAGAATAATCCCAAATTCAGTACAAACCAGTGCTTTTAACAGCTCTTGTAAGTAACAGGAATTGCCTCGACAACATTATTGGACTGTTTCTTGCTGAAAAACACTCAAACCAAATGATCCCTCCGTAGAAATAAAGAATTCATGGCTTAATATTAAATGCTGTTTCTTAGACCAACACACACGGTTCTATGTTCATAAAGCCTCTTAAAGCACCTTCCCTATCATCGCACCTCATTACTTTTGTGGTGATTCTTCCTGATTTTGATGCGTGCAAATCCTAAGAGATGAAATCAGCAGCAGCAGAGACGGAGCGCTTCATCTAAAATTGATTTACGAAGATAATGATCTGTAAAAGCGTCTGAGCCAAAGCATATCCAAAGTGCCCGTCACATCCAGTGTTATCTTCCTCTTACTGTTCTTTGGCTTGAAGTCTTTTTCCCAGTGTTGTTTTATTGTGTCTACAATAGGGTTGTCCAAACATTTTAGTACAGGGGCCACATTAGTTCACTAGACATGTCCATGGGCCGACAACCCGGAATGTAAAACTGTTATGACTGGATTCGGGCTGCTGTAAAACACAACATTTCCATATTGATTTGCATTTGCCAGAATGGAAGTTTACCAGTTTACAATCTCACCTCAGCCACATTAGCGCCATAGAGTCTATCAGAGGCTCGCAGTTTTGGAACTCGCTGCCTGTTCATATCAGGAACTGTGACAATTACCACACCTTTAAAAAGGTCCTAAAAATCTGGTTAAAAACAAATCAATCTTGCACTCACAGGTAGTTTAATTAAAGTTCAATGCTTAATCAATTCTTGGGCGTGTTATGTTATCTTACCTGTGTCTGTCCTTGTAACTATGACTGTAACTTTGTGCTGTTCTCTGTACTATGTTTGTATTTTCCTACTGTCAATGTTTCTTTTCCTGCCTTAGGACAACGGATGCAATTTAGCTCTCACGCTAATTCTGGTACATTTACATTGATGCTTTTGGCTGACGTGTTGATTAATGTGCACTGTCCTAATTCAAATAAATAAATAAATAAAAAATAAAAAAATAAATAAATATTGAATTTTGTGACACAGTCAAGAACTAGGATGTCTATATTCAAAAATGTAAAAATCAGCGACTGGATTAATCTGACTTGTATGTGTATTATTTTAATCTGTATGTTTTTAAATGTGAAGCTATTTGTCATCCTGGACTGTGAAAGGGCGCTACACTAATAAACTTTTACTTACATACTTGGATTCCAGAGGTTCTTAGCTTTACAACGAGGTATCACATGGCTATACTGGCTGAGCTGAAGTTGGCTGGATGATCTCAAAGGCTTCTAGACCTTGCTCCCATCTCTGTGTGGAGTGAGACACAATTGTAAACCGCTTTGTGACTCTGCTCTGAGAAAAGTGGTATATATGTAGGGATTACTAACAGGATTTCCTCCAGGTGCTCCGATTTCCCCTATACCACTAAATAACATGTACAACAGGTCTGGCATGCACCCTGTAAAGCACTTTTTGACTCTTGTACATGAAAGGCGCTAACATACTTACTAACTAACATGACACAGGGGGCTGCATTTGGCCTTAGTTTGGACTTTTTCTACACCTCCACCCCACATTGTTTATTCCACAGTCTGTTTGTCTGATTTGACTACTGTTGCGTCCTCACATAAGCTCCTGTTAGCATCACTCTTTGAACTCAGACTCATCTTGACGAGAAGTAGAAGTAGTGATTCACGGTGCAGCGTTTACTGGTCTTGCCAACACCTGTTTCCTCCTCTGGCTCTCGCGCCTCTGTGGTTTGGATCCACTTGCTCAATTCAACCACAGAACTTTGATTTTCCCTCTGAAGCGATCCTGTTGTTCAGATTGTGGTCTTGGTTTGGGTGATGGGTTTAAACAGAGCAGAGCCAGAGCATGTGTTTGGGGTTTTATGAAGGCTTTATCGCAGACATAACAGCTCGGGTTGTCAAAAGTATCGACAATGGGCACGGCGAGTTTATTTGTATTTAAGTGCGGAACAGATTAAGGTGGAAACAATCACACGAGGCATTACAATCGTAGATAATTACTGAATAAGAAAATACTAATAAGAAAAGATTTAGATAGTAAAAAAATAAGATTTAAATAAATAAAGATTTAGAAAATTAATAATCACGGTACATTAAAAAGAGTGAAGATAAAATCCCTCAGTTGTATGCACAAATCTGGATTAGAACTGTTTTAATCTGGATTGAACTGTTTTTTATCTGGATTAGAACTGTTTTTTTTATCTGGATTAGAACAGTTTTAATCTGGATTAGAACTGTTTTTTATCTGGATTAGAACTGTTTTTTAAAATCTGGATTAGAACTGTTTTAATCTGGATTAGATCTGTTATAATCTAGATTAGAACTGTTTTTTATCTGGATTAGAATTGTTTTTTATCTGGATTAGAACTATTGTTAACCTGAATTGTCAGATATTCAGAAATGACCAATTAGATATTACTAGATCGCTCTGTTTGTTAACATAAACTTGCCATGGGATTACAGACAGACATTTAAATAATCTAGTATTGAACCAAGACACAAGCGCGGCAAGTACAGATACTTTTTAATAATTAATGAAAGGAACAGTATGACACATTTTCATATTAAATTACATATATTAATTGCACTTTAGAATATACAGCATTTTATACTTGCTTCTGCATCATGCTAAATTTGGAGATTTTAAGACTTCTTTCCTTATGAGGCCAAAGATACAGATTTTATAGTGCTTCCTTAGTTAGAGAGTTTTTTTTTTTTTTTTGTGTAGAGATATTATTCATTTATCTTGTGCTTTGTGATCCTCATTCCTACTCTTCTGTAAATTGTGATGCATTGTGATCCATGACAACTTTCTCTGCAGTTCAATAAAGTTCTATCTAAGCCCATGCGGAAAAAAAAACATGTATTTAAACCAGGCACACAGTCCGCACTAATTGATCTTAAACCTAAATGCTGAAAAAACGGCCTCATCAGGACAAGTCCCTGAACTGACATAAGTTCCAAACCACTGGTCCGTTACATAAAGAGCAGATCTTCGTTCTCATGACACACACACCTTTTTCTGTGGTCACGTTTGACAGGTCCTGACGGTCAACACTGTGTCACATGAAGTCATTTGACCAACACAGATTCCCATCCGCCTCCTGCTCTGCTCCGTGTCAAAACAGAAGTGTGGCTCCAGTGTCATACAGCCTCAGACAGTGTTTTAACACAGCTTTCTTACTGTGACTTCTGTGGACTTTGACTGTGTAGATATAGACGTGGTTCAGTTTGTCTAAAATGAAAAAGTCTGTGATCGTGAGATTCCATCCAAATATTATATGATATTATATTTCAGTGGGAGGTTCTATTACATCTCTATGGGAACGAGGCAATTTTTTCAAAGAAATGCTGAAAAAGATAGATTTTCCCAGTACATCAGATTAGATTCACAAATCTGCCAAATTCATCTCATGTCTGATAACACTGACCAACATGATGTATATGTTAGAACTTGTCGACAGCTTTTTATGACAAAATAATTAGACGATCATCTCCAATTAGACGTTAAAATGGACAAAGAAGATGTGGAACTCCTTGACAGTTTGTGGCTCATGGATTACTCATGAATTACAAAGACACTATAGATAAACTCACTGACTGTCTGACTTTGGACTGTTACCATAGTAACCAGTAAAGGTTTACAGCTGCCCTCTATCACCAGCTCTTTGAAATGTTGTGATGTCACATTAATGCAACCTATTGGCCCCAGATGAAGAATACTTCAAATTCTAATCTTTTGTCCTTTTGGTTTCATTACAGCTTTGTTTAAATTACACAAAGATCTCTTTCAAGGCAATCCTGATTATAATTGTGCTAAAACATACTACTAAATGTCTGGAGGTTCAAGTTTTAAATCTGACCGTCCACGGAAGACATGAAAGTCTTTGAGTCGCCATAATGTCCACGATTGTAAACATGTATTCCACACCTTCCAGCTGGAAGTGAGACGTAAAAGCAGGATGTGGAGAGCTATACTTAGCTGTCTCCTGTTCATGTAATATATACCGTTTGCTCCACTTTGATTTTACTTTTTGGACACTTTATGACCCTGTAGGTCCTGTGCCAGACTGAGTGATGTCGATGTGTGTCCGGGTGTGTGGATACAGACACTATTTTTACAAGGTGACATTTGAGGATTGTGTCTTTAAGCAAATTAAAGACACAATTAAGTACTTCAGACTGTATTGGTATTTGTATGGTATTGAAATAGAAGTATAGTTCTAGTCGTATCCGTGCTCAATAGTTTCATAATAAAATCACTATGTATTTAAAGGCTGAATACATTGTTCTTTGGTCAATCAACATCATTCATGAAGTCATTAAATGAATGAATGAATAAGCATTTACATTATTATAACAACAGATCCATCCATCCATCCATTTTCTTCCCCTTAATCCATTTCTGGGTCGGGGGGGTGGCAGTCAGAGCTGCACCCAGTCACAGAGCACCAGCCCCTCACTGATCCTCCTGCAGGTGGTGAGTCCACAGGAGCTGAGATCTTTCAGTGGGGGCTTCGGGCAAAGTGGGGTTAAGTGTCTTGCCCAAGGACACAACGACAGCAGTCATCAGTGGGAGTCGTGAAGTAGGTCTTATGGTGGGCTTGAACCCACCACCTTCAGGCTCTAAGGCCAATGCTCTACCAACTGAGCTACTGTCGCCCCATAACAACAGATGTCTTTCTTATTGTAATGTTTACAAATTTAAATATATACCACTTTTCAATTCAAACCCTTCTGTGTTGCAGGCGCAGGCGCGGGCTGCGGCGCAGCCTCCACCGTGGTGGCCCGAGGGCCCCCAGGAGCCCGTGGTCGTCATCTGTGTGGGGCTCCTGATATTCCTCTTTGGACGACTACTGCTCTCCCGGCCCACCTCATACAGGGACCCTCAGGTTTAGGCCGGGAAAAACCCAGCAGACGTAGCATTTATTTTCTCCCTTTTTTTCGTTGCGGACTTCTGGATATTTACAACTCTTTATCAAAACTCTAAATGGAACGTGCGATTGTTCTGCCGTCGACCAAAGAGTTGGGATTTTGCACCCCCGCAGCGTGGATTTCTCACCACCGTGCCTTGTACAGTTTCTATGATGTATCTGTGGTTTCTGTGAAATGTGTTGTGAGGATGAACTCTGCAGAGCGGGGTTGCTAAACAGGTTTTGATACGACTGAGAAAGAATATTGTGAAATGCCACCAAAACCATTACACCACTGCGGACAGGCCAAAGATAAAGATTTATAAGACATATTTTCATACATGTTTTTCACCAAAGACTTTAGAAAGTATTAAGTTGTAGATAATATAAAAACCTACAAAAAACATTTTGTTAGCAGAAAAACTCAAATGTTGTTCTTTCCATATACATCATGTTGATTATGAAATGAAGTGTTAACTCGCTGTTAAAGCTGCACTAACTCAATTTTTCAAATGTGAGCGCTGGCCCTGCTCTTTCTGCTCGCCCTCCCCACACTCACGGAGCCCTCGCCCCCCACTGCTCCCCTCCCCCTCAGCCGCACATGTGCTAATTGTTTACAGAGCTAGCGTCTCACAATATGGATAACACATTTGAACGTGGATGGCGTGACCATAGAATGATAGAACCGGGAAGCGCAGAGGAACAAGTCTTTCTTTTGGATGGGTGTTTTGCTGTGTAAGCAGTAACCGGTAACAAAGACACAGGAAGCTTCAGGTTAGCCTCCGCCGCTGGTTTACCTCAGCTGTCTGTGCTAACAAGAGACCTGTGGCTTTTCTCAAGAAAGTGGGGGCCAGTGGTCCGCTGTGATTGGTCACAATCTGGTCCCGAAACAAAATCTCTTCCTTGTTCCACAAAAATATGATCTAAAATAAAATGACACGCCAGCACAAATCTGCGCTTTATTCTTCAAAAGGACGTATATCCCGATGCACTGCATGGATATGGATTGAATTTTTGCAATTAATACAAAAATAAAGTGAGGTAATGCAGCTTTAAGAGCAGAAGTATGAGGGAAGTTTCAGAAATGCCTAGAACCAAAAGACCTAAAACCGTTACAATTACACAAATCACTGAGGGAACAAAGTGTCACAATATGGATTATTATTGTCTTTACTCTGAAAGTATTAAATGCTGGACTGGAGAGAAGGTGAACGACACAAGTACATCCAGGAGTTTTTTCTTGCTTATTTTCAAATGTTTAACGACTGTATTCGAACAAAGAGAAGTTCAACTTGAAATGTCTTCCTTGATATTGTGCCATTTTGTCATTTCATTCATTTCTGTGCAATCGAACGAGTGATGCATTTAGAAGAAAAATCTGAATATTAAATTTTGAAGTTTCAACTCAGTGTCGCTTTGAGTCACGTTTTCCTTGGGTAGTTATTGCTTTATCTGCCGCCGGCGTCTAAAGCAATCACACATAACACATGGTTCCCTGTCTGCCACTGTGAGAGAAACCAGTCCAGTCAAGTTGAAAACCACTATATCGGTCATCGCACTTGTTCAATGCCTCACAATGTTTTGATGTCTTGACTTGAATGCACATTTCCATTTTGTTTGTGCCATAAACGTCAATTTGTTACGTTATAAAAACTTTGTGAGAGAGATTAACTCAGGCAGAATACTGTAAATTGAATCGCACTCTCTCCAAACTCGGCAACTGATGTATTGCTTTTTCTTTGTATGTGAACGTTGCTGAAATCTACTGTTTTTTCATGTCGGTCTTTTTGCCCTGCTTTAGTCAATGTCAAACTGCTCCAGTCAAGTCAGATTTTTTGGGAAATATCTGACAAAGAAAACATGAAACTGAATCAATGCTTGAGCCGAATGATTAATGAGTGAGTGTGAAAAGCTTTGGCCGTTTTTCTTTTCTGTTGTAAAAAAGATGCATTCTGTCTGTGTGTGCGGCGGTCGAGCTGTAATGTACACTGAACCTTTTGTATAGCCACGCTCTTACTCTGAGGGCAAATGTCAATAAAGATATATTTGATAACAAAACGATTTCATTGCATTCTACCAGAGTATCTGAAGAACGCAACCAGCTAAAAAAGGTCTTTAAAATGTCTTTTCAGATTCATTTATTTACCATTTGCAGTAAAACCACATTGGAAAAGCTGTCCAAGACTACCCCAGTGTGCTCCAGACAGAGATGACGGCACACACCAGAGCACTTGCCACGGCGCCATCTTTACAGCGCCATGCGAACCCTTTAATGTTATTTCAGATCTGACCCTATAATTTACACTTCTCTCACGCCTGACAACACGTCTACCCCCATTTTCACTCTTTCACTAATGTTCCAGTAATTCATAAAATAAAATGAATAAACAGGAAGCTTGAGCCACTTCCCTGACAATTAACCGTTTTGGGAGTTCAGGGACTTTCTGATTGAAATGAGGGCAAAAGTCATACAGAGGTTTGTGCATTAAGTTGTGGCTGTGAGACAAAATACTTTACAGAATAAAAGCAGTTGAAATGAACACAAATCTATAATGTGTATATTGGTATAAAACACAAATGTTTTAGAGAAATACTTTAGGGATAATGGTATGAGCTGTCTGTGTTTGTACATTGGCGTACAGAGCGGCCCCTCCCAAACTGAAACCCAACACTAAATGAAACAACAGCCAAAAAAGGACATGCTCTTGTCCAATGTCTTCTCTGCGTAGATAAACTCATGCGTCAGGGCACCGCGTCTCTATCTGAGGATCTATAACCATTAAACAGTGAAGGTTTGAAGCATTTCTGTTAGCTTGTCCCAATACTGAAAAAATCATACTAACATAGTTCACGCATGACACACAAATACCATCAACAATACAGTAGCTTATTTTAAAATGCTTATCATGCCATTGTCCCAGTAGGATCAAAATTATTATAATAATTGTCAGTAGATTATAATTGGATGAATAACACATGCCATTTCACATGCATGTTGATGAAGCAGCAGAACTTACTTTTTCATTTCATTTTTTGCTAATTTGAGAAAAAATAGCCTGTCCATCTGTAAGTCTGTGTAAAGCTTGACCAAGTGTCCAATCAGAGGTCCAGAGATGGTGAATACTGTACATGGGCTGGCAGAGGCTCAAACTAATGTGCAAATATACAGGATAATTACTTATTTGACTTTCATTCCAGCCACATATAACATCTGGGCAACTTCATGCTGTCCTTTAAATCAAAAGTACTCAGACGCAGGTACTTCCTCTTTTTTCTCTGCTCTGCACTTTTCAGGACACTCCGGGCATGTGTATGTGTGTGTGTGTGTGTGTGTGTGTGTGTGTGTGTGTGCAGATGTATGTGTGCCATAGTGTTGCAGTAGCTTGGCTCAGCGTTACATCAGCCTCATAAAATAAGCCGATACTCTGCTGCTGCTTGTGCAGAGTGGAGCGTGTCAGGTCAGTGTGTACAGCGCACACCGATGCACCAAGAGCTATAATCACAGCAAAGGAAATCAAACCAGCTTAACAAAACACCAACAAACCACGAAACACTATCCAGATGCAATCAATTAAAGTGTGCAGAGTTATAGTGGAAGAGTTGGTTATGGTGATTGAGCTGGTGCATGGAGAAGAGCCATGGCAGCTTCACTCTGTAGACATTTGAGAGATTTTAGATTTTAGAGATTGTTGAAATGAGAATCAAGTTATACATCTACACATTTTGCCAACACAATAACATATTTGGGAGTATTTAAGTGCTTACATGCTGTGCTATGAATTTGCAAACTGAAAAGTGCACACAATCTGCAGCCACACAAATCAGTTATTCAAATCTAAATCTTTTCAACACAAATGACTGAATAGCTTCTTGTTACAGCCTTGTCATCTATAGAATCTTCTAGAAAAAGTATAAAGCAGACAGGGCAGTTCTGCGCTGCACATATCTCTACTCTGCAAGTGGAATTTCCCTGTATTTCCTCCTCAGTGATGTCCTGGAAGAACAGTAGGTACAGTACATGACACTGCACAGCTGAACATGTAGTGGCCTGACGTCCAACAGGTGCACGAGTGTTTCATGATAAAACCTCTGAACAAAACACGATACAAATAGTTTAGCTAAAATTGGGAATCAGATTCACACCAACATCTGAAAAACTGCTATTAAGACATCAAAGTGAGTTACAAGAAATTATCATTGACTTTCTGTCTGTTCTAACTTTGACAAAACTCTAAATGACTGATATATCATGACTTCCCTTTCATGCTCACTAACAACATTGTACAAAAGAAGCATAAAGGTGCAGAAGAACAGACAATCAAAATGCAGAACAAAAGCAACAGAACTAGAGACTTATTAAAGGGGCTGAAATATGGCGGATGAGACACACACAGAAAAGCAGAAACCTGCATATGTGAAGGTCATCTAAAGTAAAACAACATAGTCATTAAAATGCATTGGACACTGCACCAGTGCCAGCCCAGATACATGGACAGAGTTCATATACGCACTTTTCAAAGCATTAGGGTTAGGGTTAGGGGCATTTTGAGTTGGTTAAAGCAGGTGAAGTGTGAGGGTTATTGTGAACTTACTTTTGCTCAACATATAGATGTACATGTTGTATATATGTATGTATATATATGTACAGTATATAGATGTTGTCAGTTAGAAAAACAAACCTGTCACTCCAGAATCAGACCAATTCAGACTTTTTTCCAATCTGTAGTCTGAGAGGGTTTACCTGTCTGTGTTGTCGCTGTGTATATTTGGTCTTAGAATTCCGTTATTTGTTGTCTTTAGTCTCTAGTTTTATATTCATTCAAATATAATGGGTGACGATTTTGGATGGAATGCTTTCTTGTATTGGCCTCGCTTTGACTCAAGCCGCTTGGACAAGTGTGGACAGGTCAGTTTTGTAACATGACCATGAGAGTTTACTCCACGTCTCCAGTTCCCATGATGCCTCTCACACCTCTGTCATTTAT